TAGGACCTCAGTTATCAAGTATGAAATGCAGCAGGGCAGAGACGACACGTCATTAGCCGCAGTTACTGTTGGGTTGAGAACTTTCTTTCTATACAGAGTGACATCTGTGAGAGTTGGAGGTAGATGGAGCCCCTTTGTTTTTCTGGGTTTTGTAAGTTTTCTAACTTTAACAGGGTCCAGTATTACAACTTGCTTACTGCTCTCTACTAGTGAAAAAGATATGATTTGACTTTTCCTTCTCTGACAGGTTTCCACCTTACACAGGTTCTGGTATTTTGGGTTTTACTGCATTTTGATTCCCCCCCCCCCTCTATAATGTAATCAGAATTTTAAAAACACCTCAGTTATTCAGTGAATACTAAGTTCAAACTCTATGGAAAAATGAAAACAGCTCCTCCCACTCCAGGAACACTCCCAAAGGCAGAAGCAGATCCTGCTAATACTGTCTATAAAACTCACCACTGGTATTGTTTCAGAAATAGAAGAAGAATGGATTTCTTTCTTAAGTCCACAATACATCACAAAAAACCTGGAAAAGTCATCTACCTAATTTTTTAATGCAGGAAAAATCTTTCTCTAACAAATGCTCTAATTTACATTTATGCTAAAGTTCCCTTATGAAAGTCAAATAGTTTTGTCGTCAGGGTACAGAACTTAGTCATAGTCAAATATTAGGTCATTTATTACTCTCATCAAATATTAAGTAGCTTATTACATAGTCAAATATCAAATAATTTATTACCTCCATCCTAACAACAGAAGGTTTACAATGCACTTCCTGTAATTTCCATTTCTCTTTGCGAAGACAAGAAGCTCTGGGAGAGAACTGTGGCAGTTTACTTCCATAATGATTCACAGCCTGACAACCCTCAGGGGCAGCGCGACTCTAGAAGGTTACTGTGAAGTAGAATATAATTCTACCCCCAACTTTATTTTATTTTGTATCACAATTTTTTTAATCTGCAAGTTCTCGCTTGTGCAGGAGTATTTTAAAGTTTTGCTTGGTTATATTTCATCTGCTGCCACTGACAGAAATTCAGTGGAGGAAAGAATTTTTGAGAAAATTTGATATCCTGTCCCTTGACTGAGAGGAGAGACAAGGCCCACAGAGATTCAAGGATGTGCAGTTGCAGAAAACAACAGCCAGACCGAAAACCTGAACTAGGATCATTTATTGTCTCTTGAGATTCCTTTTCATTTCAATTATATATTCAAAAACTAGCGGAGAGTTCCCTAACACTCAACAGCAGTCTGAATAGGGGACGTGTTTGGAGCTTACATTTGTCTCTTGGCGGGATAGTCCCATTGCTCTTCTCCTGACAAGAAGCTGCAGCAGGACTTGGTCCTGCCCACCTTGCCAGGGGAACCTCTGCAGAGCCTTGCCAGCTATCTTCACAGCTCAGCCACAACCCAATGGAAATGTAATGAAAAGAACCCAAATGTTTTAACATGTTTGGGGGTACTTCCCCCAAACTGAATTTTTCCCCTCCCAAAGCTCTGTATTGTATTCAATTTTTTTATAAGACAATCTCATCACCTTCAAATTACTCTCTATTACACCTAATACATTTGTCAAATCTGTGAGTTCATTCCTGAAAACATCTTCAAACTCATCTGTTTGGATGGCTGACAGTTCTTTCACCCCTTCTAAATCAAATTACTGTCCTTTCATGTCCCTCTTCACTCGCAGAAACAAAAATAAGTAACATGGAGTGAGGTCAGTGAGTAAGGTGCATTGGGCAAGAGAGGCATGCCGTTTTTTGGCCAAAAACGGTGCACTGAGATGGCTGCATGAGCAGGTGCATTGTCGTGGTGGCAAAACCAGTCCCCCATCTCCCACGAATCAGGCCTTTTTTTGTGGCACACTATCTTTTCAGAACATGTAAATAGAATGCTTGATTAACAGTCAGACCTAGTGGAATGAACTCCAAATGTACTATGAGTCAACATTTTCAACCGTTCAGAAGTTGACGGACATCCAGAACAAGATTTGTCATCAATTGACACTTCACCTTTTTTGAAACGAGAAAACCACTCGTACACTTGAGTTTTTCCCCATAGCACTGTCCTTGTACACTGTGTTCAACAGCACAACAGTTTCAGCAGTATTTTTATAGAGCAGGAAACAAAATTTCACAGCCACACACTGTTCTCTTAAATGGGCCATCACAAAAAATGAGGCTTGAACAAAACTACTTTCCTGAAAAGAATTCACTGTGACCAAAGAGAACCTTTCCAGGTGACACCACTAGGTGCACTCACTCAGGGCGAGTTGCTGGATGCTCACCTAGTGGGAAAAATGGATACTATGAAAACTCTGTCCAGTGGAGCTTATTTCCAGGTTGTTGGTTTTTTTTGGGGGGGGGGGATTAACCTTTTTTTTAGGCTTATTTTTAGGCAGTACTGGGACTAAATGGCATTTTTACCTTTCCAAAAGCATCACAAACTTTTATCAGCTTAGGTGTAAAACTAAGAAGCATTTCTGGATGTTCCTTTTGATGTTCAAAAGGACCCATTTGTATCTCTTTGGACTCAGGTACAGACCAGACACAATTGTTAGGGGAAACAAGGAGGCTTTATCTGAATGCTATTCTTTAGAACACCAGGACACCCTTCAGCACCCTTGAACCACAGGGCTGTAAGCTTCTTGAGGGTAAGGGGCAGGGACCTTTCTTGCTTTTCTTTTTCCCCAGCCCAGCAGAGTTTGCGAGCCAGCACCGAGCCGGTAGCATCCACTGTGGTAATAGCAGATGAAATGGGTCTCTAGAGATTAGGAGGAGCAACGATAGCCAACTCCCCCAAAGACAGCAGTTTTATGCTGACTTTGAATATATACAGATACACACAGAATTCTATGGTATAGGCCGGACTTTAACAAAGAACATAGAGCTACGTTTAAATTTCCCCAAAGCTCCCAGGGTTACACATCTAAGAAAGCACACAACTTCTACACAGGGAACTGGACGGGCACATATGAATGAAAAGACTGTTGCAATATGACAGAATGCAATAAAGAGGTGCTTTCTGCTCTTCATATTTCCAGGGGAAGAAACAGAGGTGTGTGAGAAAGAAAACAAAACAAAAACACGAAGGGTCAAAGCCTCAAAAAGACTTGCCTGTTGCCTTGCCAGCCATAGGTCAGAGACTGAGGCTCCAAGGGTTTTGTGATTTCTTACGAGAAATTTGAGTAAGAGAAATACAATGACTCACTTCATAATAATGCCTTCTCTTCCCCAAAGTACACATCACCGTTCCCACATCCATAGCAGACGGGCACTTAGGGCAGAGCTATTGCAACATGAGCATCACCCCGCACCATCATCTTGGAGCTGACTGAGAGCAGTATCCACAGCAGGGAAGAGCTCTCTCTGGTGTTTCAGTTAGGTCTGCCTCCAAAGGAAGGGGGCGTGCACTCCTTCTGCACTGCCACATCTGCAACAGCTGGCTTTGTGTGTGCACCACCTTGATGAAGGGGGCGAGAGCTGAGTGCAGCTGGCTTCCCTGTCTGCAGGTTAACAGAATCCCCAGGCAGGGTCATTCTGAATCGGCATGCCCAGATTGCCTAGGAAATTCTCACTCTGGCACTCACAATCCAAAACTGAAAGTAACAGAATAGTGGAAAAGGAATCCTCCTGAGAGCAGACAATGGCACTAGTTGCTCGAGTACTACTCAGTCCCCGGCCACAAGGAATTAAGTTAACAGTTACTAAGAAAATAACTCAAAGTTTTTCGCCAAGAAAGTATCTCCAATATCACTCGGGGAATCAGTTTCTCAGACAGGGCCCAGTCAGCTGTTTCTTGTAAATCACTACCAAGAGAGAATAAGGTGTATCCTGCCCTTTGATGAAGGTCAGTGTAAACTGATCAAAGAATCGAAAGCTTCAGATTCAAGAAATACACACACAAGCCTGGCACACCTGGATGTGAGTGCTAGGAAGTATGTAACAAGGAGTCAGAATGCCTTTTTCTGGTCCAGGGAAATTCTGAGAGGGACAGACGGCATATTGATCTTTAAAAAACTGAGACAGGCAGACTCTCCTGAGGTCAAATATCAATGAGGATAAACCTTCTAGGCACTTCTGGTGTGAGAACTGCAGCCTTGGCTTGATGGGAAAGCTGTGGGAAAGGGCCTCTGACTTAACCGGGAGCTTTTCGAGTTCCTAGGGAGTTTCAATGAGTTGGGATCCACTTGCCGGCACCTCACCACCACCAGCACAGGGACCACCGGCTTGAGGAAGGAGTGGGCTGAAGGGAGTGAGGAGGGGAAGTGCAGAGTGGGGGCTGCTTAATAAGACGGGTGCCCAGCGCTTGAAGTTGTTGAGCGGTATTGGGATCTGGCTGAGTGGTAAGTAGCTGGAAAAAGGTGTATGGGAAGGGAGGATCAGAGTGGGGAGAGGAGCAACTGAAGGCACCCAGACTGACCACATTGAAGGCGTTTCAAACAATGAAAGACCCTCCTGAGGCAACCTGTATTTTTCCTATAAACTAACTCAGTTAACTCCAACAGAGTACTGTCACTGGTCATCAGAGCAGTTTACAGGTAGGGAAAGTGAACTCGTTCGTGGAGAAGATTCAGAATGGTTACCTTCTCAGAAACACAATTCTCAACATTTAGGCAACCCTCCAAATTCCAATATTTGTATGACAGCAGCTATTGAAAAAATACATCTGTAAAAATACCAGTGCTTCCCCAAGGTGGAGTAAGACTTCACTTATATTGAGATAATGTTTTATCTCTCTCTTAGTAATTTAAGATAATAACTATTAATATTTCATATCAGATACAAGATCTAATTTCTCCTATATTACACCTGAAAGCAATACTTCTTCCTAGTACAATTCATTATTGTTTGCTTACATGACAATCTCTTTTTTGCTTTGAGAACCAACTAAGCAGCAGTATATGATAGTCGTATGCCAATAACATTATTACTTTAATAGTTTTTAATGTATTGAGATAATTTGACATCTTGGAAATGTTTCAAAGAATAATTAAATACCTGACACTTCACTAGCTTGGTTTCCTTCCTTCCATTTAGTGTGTACACCTCAGGGCACTGTGGATGGATGAAAAAGGGAAATCAGGAGTCGCACTGGCGTTCTGAAGGGCTCTCTGCTCAAAAAGGAAGTCTGGGTTTCCATTCAAGGTTTCTGTTCTTTATTCTTCCTGGGGTTCTTTTCAAGGGTTTCACTCCTGATCTCTCTTCCTTGGTATTTATTTAAGATAAATTTATTTTAGACAACCTGGGCCAAATTTCATATACATCAAAACGTAAACATTAGGGCTAATCTAATATTATTAGAAACCTTTTTTGAAGCATATTGATTATGCAACACTTCACAATGATGTTAATACCGGCTACACTTTTTTTTTACCTCTCTCTCTTTGGTGAAGTTTCAAGTCATATATCCAAAAGGAAACAAGAAAAAAAAATTTAGTTCAGTGAACTCAATCGTGCCTTCAGTGAGCTCCATGATGTGTTTGCTGATGGACTCTGTGTGTGTGTGTGCATGAGGGTGCATGTATGTACACATGAAGTGCAGCTGTTAACTTTAAAAGGCAAATCTGTTATGCTGAAACATTACAAGCAAGTATTCTGAATTTATATGTCTGAATAGATAACGCCAATGAAATATATAAGTAATCCCTAATAGAACTTACAATGTAGCTAGGGGGGCGGGGTGAGAAAGAGAAGGGAAGGGTGAGAGGAAAGAAGGGAGGGGGACAGAGAGAGACAGAGGGAGAAAGAGAGAGAAACACCTAAGTGTAAACCATCTATCAGTTAGGAAATAATACACTAGGGAAAAGTACTGGGTCTCATGAAAATGTCAGTGATTCACATGGAATAAAATTTAAAAGCCACTGACCCCAAGGAAAGCTTCCAGTTGAAACACGTGGGTTTTGCTCCATTTCATTTAGAGGACTTTGCTTTATGTCATTTAAATACTATTTTAGGCACTATGATGGGCTTTGTGATGGGTTGCTTTCTCGCTTAAAATTGATGGGAAAGATCCTGCTAATCAAACTAAATATTTAAGGGGTCTTCAGGGGGAAAATAATCAATTAATCAATATCACTATGCAAAATAGGTATGATAACTTGGGTCCCTTAAAACAAGTGTGGAGTGCTCACTGGGTAAATGACAACAGAAGACAATTCCTTTTCACTCTTTTACAATGTTAGTAGAATTGTTTCCATACATACCAATTCTTTATTCTGACTTGCCACAAGATCACAACTGACGGTGAGCTGACTTACACAGACCACAAATCTGTCGGGGAACACACAGAGTTCTGTACAAAATGAAGAAAGCCAAGTTATTAAAGGCATCAAAAACTGACCTGTCTTTATACAGAAATGCTTAGTCCTCTTCTGCTTGTTTAAGTTGCAGAAGTTTGTATGTCTGTGGAAGACGTGTCTCTACTCCCTTCCCTTCTTTCAATGTTTGCCATCAATAGGGAAGGGTAGGCAAAAAGCTCTAGGGAGTGGAGAGGAGGCTGTAAATTGGTCCACCTGAGCCACTGGACCAATATATCACATGAAACCGCCCAGGCAGGGCCTTTGAAGACGTCTCTGTGTCAGTCTGCTGTTTTCCGCTCAGAACTCACAGTTGGGAAATAGAATCAACATTTTTTAATAAGTGTGCAGACTCACATAATAGGGAGAGGTAGAACATTAAATAACATATGAAAACATGTGAACCTCTCACTAGTTCGATTACTTATCATCTCCTGTCTAACTAATCTTCAAGAGGTTACTTAAACTGGAGAGGCAAACTTCTAATGTAATCAGGCTATCAAAAAAGAAGATTTGTTCTGGAATTAATAATAATAATAATAATAATAATAATAATAATAATAATAATAATGGATAATAATAATATGCAGTATTATAGACAATTTTATATCAGAATCACTCGCTGCCATCAGATGGACAGGGTAAAACTTTCCCTGTGAGTTTCTGAGATTGTAACTCCAGGAGAGTAGAAAGCTCTGTCTTTCTTCCCAAGGAGCTGGTGATTTTGATCTGGTGATTTTGACCTGCTGACCTTGTGGATCACAGCCCAAGGTGCAACCACCATGTCAGCAGGGCCCCATAACCGTGGTCATCTACTATTACAACTTCTTAAAGCACAACCACTGACTTCCGGGTGTGGAAAATGGAATGAATTACAGGTTTGGACTCTTCATGGTAAATGCCAACTGTTTCTCTCCTTCTCTTCCTTTGTGTGTCCACCCATCTATCTGCCCGTCTTTCTTTGACCCCTAGGGTGAGGGCAGCTGAAGTTAACAAGGTATACTCTGGGTAGGCGCAGAGGGTCCTCTCCTCCCTTCACTACACTTGGTTGCGTTGCCTGCATAGTTTCATAAAGCACATGTATCACATTTATAATAGAAAGGAAGTCACTTTTCTAAAACATACAACTTCCCTCTGGATGGGAGCAACTTGTTGAATACAGATATTCCGAATCTGATAAATGAAGCCTTTTATACACATTAGACATTTATGATAAAAAAAACTTAGCCAAAGTTTATTATTTACAAAAAATCATGATAAAATACGAAAGTTTTAGTAATGGATCAGAATTAGAATAAAAATGATCAGATAAGTTATGCCAAATAATCCCTTGTTTGTGCTTCCATTTTCTTGTCTAAAAACTATGAATATTACAATAGTAGATCTAACAAAACATTTTGGCACCAAGTATTGTATCAACAGAAATCAGCCCCCACACCCCTTTTCTTTGTTCGGGTCATGATGAGAGCTGTTTCACGCTAACATTGACATGATGAAAAGACATAGGCAGCTCCGACAGAGAAAAGTGGGTAAGCATTAGACTGCTAAGCCAAAGGTCGGTGGTCTAAAACCACTAGTTGCTCTGGGGAAAAGAGTTGAGGCTATCTGTACCTGTCAAGAGATGCAGCCTCCAAAGATCTGTCCAGGGTCACTATGAGTCAGAACTGAGTTGCTGGCAGTGGCTCTGGTTTTCAGCTGGTATGTGAGCAGGTTTGGGAGACCTGGGCTTGCTTTCTGGCCAGTGCACCTCACAGGCAGTCATTACTCACCTGCCAGTGGGGGCTGGTGCGCTACTATGATGCTAGCAGGTTTCAGAGGAGCTTTTCGACCTAGGCAAACTAGGAAGAAAGCCTGGTAACCTACCTCTGAAAACCAGTCAATGAAAACCTCAGCGGACATAAAGGTCTGCTCTTCTTGTACAAGGGGGCTGACCTGATGGCTGCTAACAACTACAACAGAGCGAAGGGGAGCAATTTGAAAGACAGCATTAGCTTCCTTATTTTACTGAGGTACACAAAATGCTCGCCATTAAGAGGGTGATACACTCAAGCATCACTGAAAATTAAGAAAACATTGATACTTGAAAAGATGCTGAGAGCAAAGCACTGAAAATTATTTTTTTAATGTCCTCATTTCATAATTTATATACAGAAATAGTCCAAAGATATTAAGATGGATTTTCTCTCCAAAATGCAGATAAAGTCAGAGACCAACAACCCCAAGTTGTTGCACACACTGACCTAATTTCCTCAATGAACAAGTTGACTTGGGGAAACGGTGGCTCTGTCACAGACCGATTCAACACTGTGATGACTCAGGCTATGGAAGTGTTCTCTAAGATACCCACTAGCTCCACGCTGGAGAAGTGATTCACAGTTCAACCAGATGCTGAAGTCCAGTGTGGCTCACTGCTCTCGCACGGGCAAGAAACACAGTGGAATTTGGGAGGATGGGAGTTACAAGTGCTTGGAAATATTTTAAAGTACTACTTCAACTGTCTTAAGGCAGTTGAAGCAAGTAGGCATCTTCCCTCTTTAATTTTAATCTCCAGAGCAAGTTGATTGGGCAAAAGGCCTGATGACCCAAGAAATGTGTTCCTTACCAGCACTTGGTGAGCCTCTGATGCAGCGCAGGCGTATTCCTCTCTTGAGGAAGTAAGCTGTGATTTGCAAGCCGTAGCCTGTGAAAATGGAAGAAGGCACCATTCGATTATAAGCTTGTTTGCCCACTGAATCCCAGGGGCCCAGGCCTGTGCTTGCCACAAAGTCTGCATTCAATAATTATTTGGCAAATGAAAGAAGAAAAGAATCAATAGAAGGCCTCGCTCGAGAGGAAGGGGTAAACATTACAATTTTGGCTCATCTAGGAGACCTATCCCTGTACCCTAGTCCCTTGAGTGGCTCAGTCACTTCATCTGTAAAATGAAATAAATTATGGGATTTGACTAGCAGGCCTGAAAATCAGTCCTCTAAGATGGAATGATTAATTCTGTCTGAGTCAGTACACTGATCTTACTCATGTATCTTCTAATGCTTACTAGCTCACAGGGGGGAAAAGAAACAAAAACATTTAAAACATTTTTCAAGATGGCTGTATTTTGCTCAAATGGGTTATCTGAATTCAAGTACAGCAAAGCCTTTATACTCCACAAGATAAAAAGCCATTTAACAGTAGAGAAACCCTCTCCAACTTACCAGAATGGTCTAAATGAAAATGACAGTACCAAGTGTTGGCAAGAAGACAGAGCAACTGGAATTCTCATATATGGCACTTGGGAATGCACATTCATACACCCCCTTTGGAGAAAATGCGTGAGTATCCTCTAAAGCTGAACAGACGTGTGAACATACAATGTTCATTATTGCACTCTTTATAACAGTCCCAAACAGGAACCAATTCAAACATCCAGCCAACAACTGTCCCCTCACCAAAAACAAACCAAACCATAAACTTATGAATGAATTAGAATTCATTCCCTTTTAGATGAATAACCAACAACTACAGGAAATAATAACAGATAATAAAACACCCCAAATATAATATCAAGCAAAAGAAGCCTAGCCAAAAGCAGTACATCCTCCCATCTGCAAAAATGGAGACAATATTACTATCCCGCGTGAGAAGTACCAGCACAATTCCTTCCTTGCTTCCCCAACTCACCCATCTTGGGGATCACCGTTTCTACAGACTGTTTTGTTTTTGTTTAGTAATTATTTTCTTGGGGCACTCTTACAAGAACTCTTATAACAATCCATCATTCAATTGTATTAAGCACACTTGTACATATGTTGCCATCAACATTTTCAAAACATTTTCTTTCTACTTAAGCCCTTGGTATCAGCTCCTCTTTTTTCCCCTCCCTCCACCACTCTCCCACCCTCATGACTCCTTGATCAATTATATATTATTGTTGTTATTTTGTGTCTAACATTATCCATTGTCTCTCTTTACCCACATTTCTGTTACCTTGTGATGAGTTCCCCTTTCTCTACCCCCCACCCCCACCCCCCGCCTTTCCCTTATCCTCATATCGCTACTCCCACTACTACTCCTGAGGGGTTTATCTGTCCTGAACTCCATATGTTGTGAGCTCTTATCTGTACCAATTGATGTACTCTGGTCTAGCCAGGTTTTTAAGGTAAAACTAGGTCATGGTAGTAGGTGGGGAAAGGAAGCATTCAGGAGCTAGAGGAACGATGTGTGCTTCTAGACTGTTTTTCTGAGGTCAAGTAAAAAAATTCCTGGTTAACACAGTTAAGTACTTTCTGGTAGAATCCAGAATGAAAGGTTCATCAGCAAGCGATGATGGTCCCCAAGTTCTGTGAGAGCCTCAGAAAATCGCCACGCTGTCAGACAGTCCTTTATGCATCAATTCGGAGGGGCAGAGAGTTGCCAGGGGTGACACCCCCCCACCCCCCACGGATCATCAGTCTCCCCAAAGCTCACGGTTATGTCTGTTCCGAAACAACTCTACAGTCAGTATCCCCCTGGCACACTGACAGAAAGCTCCAGGACACCAGTGACTCCAGAATTGATGCTCTGTCCAAACAAGCTGACAGCAACATGGCTTCGGTTACCAGATTCTGAAACAAGAGTGACATCTATGGAGAGGTAATCCCGAGATTAATGTAGATGAACTAGGTATCTTCTTAATAACACTTGAAAATGGAGTGCATCTTGGCCACAGGGTTTGCCTCTGCTTTAAATGTCAACCGAAGTGTGCACAGCATCGCCGTTACTCTGGCTCCTTGAAAACAGATTCTTCCTTTTGTAGGTTACTGTGAGGTTAAGTGACTTCCTCATCTGTTCACTTGCCCTACTGCTGGGGGAAACGGGCCCTTTGCACGGTGGGCCAACCAACAGGCAGCAAGATTTAACATAGATTTCTAAAGTAATGGTTTGTAATTAGCATCTTCCAAAGGGGTTAACAAAAACATAAGGAATATTCAAGTCATTCTGCCTTTGGTGAAATTGTATTTATGCTTATAGCTCTAGCGGCTTAAGACGGCACGTTCAAATTCAAAACAAAAACAAACCCCTCCTGGTACAAAATGCCTAGCAATAAAATAGTCTCAGGAAAGGGCTCAGTATGACACTGACCAGGAAAGCTAAAAGTTTGAGTTCAGGGAGTCTGATATCTGGAGATATTCCGCCCTGATCTGTACCTCCTCCTTGGTCTGCTAAACAATGAAGTCTTTGCACTGTAGAAAAGTGAAGCAGTGTGAGTCAAATTCGACTTCAGGGGTTGGTTGCTAAAATTACTAGGGGGACTGAGGGTATTTGCCCTCACTCTACCGCCCAACCCGGGGATAAGGTTATGTTAAAAGGAATCCTTCCTAGAGTGTTTTTGTTATTGGTAGTTTCAACGGGGAGAAAATCCCTAACAACACCGCAGTGGGAATTGGCAAGTGTAATGTGTGAAAAAGACCGTCCACCTGCTTAATCCAAAATCGACTACTCATATGAAATGTTACTGTTTAAAGAGAAACATGAGGAGAAATTAAACACCAAAGGTGCTTGTGTCGTTTCTCAGGGAGCCACGGTGGTGTAGTGGTTATGCGCTGGGCTATGATCCATATGGTTGGCAGTTCAAAACCACCAGCTGCTCTGCTGAAGAAAAATGGGGTTTTCTACTCCTGTAAACAGTTAACAGTCTCAGAAACCCACAGGAGGGTGGCAATGTGTGGCATCGACTCGATGGCAGTGAGTTTGGGCTTATACATAACAAGTAGAGATACAGAAGACATTCTTATCTTTGCACTTCCTAAAAGCATCTTCAGAGATCATCAGGCCACTATGATTCTGTACTTAGCTTGGTTGAAAGCAATCCTCTACTGTTCTCGAAAACTAAACACCATTTTGGCCAAGCGTCCAGGAATCCTTTTGCTTGGTCTCCTCTAGGCACCAGCTCCCAGCTTGCTACACGAGTGTCCTAAGTACAACAGACCCAGGGGTAAGAGCCGGATGCGGTGTGGTGCAGTCTGGGGTAGGGCTTAGGGTTTGGCAAGACAGAAAAACCTCAGCAAGGTTTTCCAAGATTATGAATCACTTATATACCACATTGACGTTTGGCTACTATGGTCCTCCTAAACTTGAGAGAGTTGTCGTTAAACATAGGAAGTGATTGGGGTTGAAATGTGGATAATTGTATAACGAAAGCATCTTTCCACAAGGACTCTTCAAGTATGTGCATCTGTAGAAATAACCTACAAAGGGGCTTCAAAAGTCTATGTAAAAATTCTGTTATCGTTTTATTCCATTTTGTTCATACACTTTTTTGACACCTCTACAGGTTTCTGAGTTGCTTAAAGCCACGTGACTGTCCATTGCCAGCAGGGGCTCCTCGTCTCTGCCCCTCGCCTCTAAGTAGCAGCAAGGCGACCTCTTGGGTTCTGTTCTTTGTAAAGCACTAGTATCCTTACCACTCTTTCACTGAGAACTCCCATGGAAGCCCCAAAGCTGAAATGCACTTTCTTCTGGTTCACCAAAGCTATCAAGTCTCCAAATAAAACAAAACAAAGAAGAGCCATCCAGTCAACAATGTCTATGAGACCGACAGACAGGGAAGTCCATGTTTTAAGAAAGAACCAGAGTTCTGGGATTGTTTTATTTTATATTCTGTCTAGAATAAACTTGGCTTTATCAGTAATAGGGAGGCTTTATGAATAGAAAGGCAAAACACTGACAAGAAAAATCAAATAGGGTTGAAGAAGATTCTACGCTGCCTTAGCAAGGCAGCCGATTCTTTGTAAGCAGTACCGCGCTCCAGCAAGTAATGTGCTTTGTGGGAGTGGTCACTTACATGGGTTGTTCTATTTCCTAGTCCCACGAGTCTGAGAGCAAATATCAGACTGGGAGTTCTTACTGTAAAACGATCCAGCCTCACTTGCTTTCCAGTGGACTCACAGCCGAGGGGACTTGAGCTTCCCCAGTACTGCCAAAGGGAGTCTATGGAACGGTGCAGAACAGCAGGAAGCCCTAACCCCTACTTATTACAGTCACTCCTGGGGGAGCTGGGGAAATGCCTGTGTGACTGGCTGAGCCAACAGGAAAGTCCTGGTAGGTGAACACCTGCTTGGCTCTCCTCCAGCAAAGTCTTTTCCCAAATCACAAGGCAGGCTCAGGGAAGCCAGCGGGGATCCCCCACCCCCATTTCTTTTTGAGATGACTTTCTCATTTGTATCATCACGCATACAATTATGCAAAAGTTCAAACATTCAGAAGAGAGAAACATTTTGGCACAAAGACTCCCAAATCCACCACCTATGTTCAACAATGGTGAATATTTTTCCACATTTCACAGACATATTTGATAAGCCATTTCAAAATAAATTAGACATTGTGACACTTTATTCCTGATGGCTTAGTGGTTACGCACGGGGCTCTGATCCACAAGGTCTATAGTTCAAAACCACCAGAGGTTTCAAGAGAGAAAGATGGGGCTTTCTACTCCCATAAAGAGTTACAGCCTTGCAAACACACGGGGGCAGCTCTACCCTGTCAGACAGAGTCCCCAAGAGTCAGGATTGACTCGATGGCAGTGAGTTTTCAAGTCGGGGTACGCTCTCCCAAACAGGAGCATTCTCCTCCATTATCAAAACACTATCACCTCAACCAGTGAAACAACCAGTTCCTATTCACGCCTCCGATGGTTAACAAGGTGTACTTCACTATCTTCTT